TCTCACCAGGCACTGCAAGTGGCGCACAGATAAAACACTCATAAAATAAAAATTGAATAAGTATAAACAGAATCTCAGAAGTTCAATATGGTGAGAGTTTAGGAGGATGGGGGAGAAGGTGGAGAGAAGTCCAGTACTGATGTGACAAACGCCATACACCTATAGCTCTGTAGACCAGGCTGACCTCAAACTCAAGAGATCTGCCTGCCTCTGCAGGGGCTAAAGCCATGCACCACTACTCCCCAGCCAGGTCCAGTGCTTTAAATCAATTTAATTCTAATCAACCCTAAAAGCTCACGTTGATGGCTTTAGAAACACATCTGGGAAAAGATCAAGCACCTACTGAGTTCATCCAACAAGAAGCCATAACTTTATTAGTGATAGAAACAGTACAAATTTCAAACCAAGCTGTAGTTCCACTTTTGAAACGCCAAAAAGGGGGTGGGGTGGGAGAAGGGGAACATCCTTGCTGTCAAACAGTTACATCGTTAATTCCTGTAAAAGGGGGAGAAAGACAATTAGAGGCATTTATAGGCATCGTAAGACTCAGTCACTACACTCTAAGGCACCGCAGGCTTTGGAATGAAGCCTCCCACCCACGTGTCCCTGCACACAACAGAGCGCAGGAGGTAAAGAACAGACCGGCTACTTACCATAATAGCATTTACAATATCATTACTGTTGTTTTTCAGGGCTCGGACTGCCTTTGCTCTTGACACATTTGCTTGTGACATGACCAGCTCTATGTCCTTAACTTCCACACCTGTTTCATCAACCTACAGGAGGGGGAGAGGAGTCTTAATAAAGAACAACTCCAGTAGTGTTTGGAGCAAAATATGCCATCACAAACAACTGCAATTAAGTAAAGTTCACAATATTTTGTGGCATACCTCTTCCTCCTCGCTCTCCTCTTGTACGGTTGGAGTCTGAGTGTTTTCCTGAATATTTGAAACGGCTTCACCTTGAACTTTGAATTTCTCAGCAGCTGCTAACTGTGCTTGCTGAGACAAATCTTCAATCTACAGAGTAGAGAACAGACATGAATAAAAATGCATCTTAGGCTATATATTGCTTTGTTAATAGAGTATTTGCCCTCACTTTGGACTCACTGTAAAAAGTAAGCTAGTGGTGTCTAAAGACTTTTGGTATCCTAACTGTGAGAAGGGGCTCAACATCTGCAATTCCAAGTCCTACTGACCCTAAATAACAGCAACACTAGTCATGAACACATCACCGAAGAGTCACCAACCTTGGCCTCTCCAAAAACTATGTAGGTGTCTGAAGCTGGGCTCTTGTAGACATCTGGTTTTGTGATGACGAAGAGGATATTTTTGGATTTCCGGATAGTGACTCTAGTAACCCCTGTAACCTGTCGAAGACCCAGTTTGGACATAGCCTAAAGAAGAGAAAAGGACATTACATTTTTAACTTTAGAAAGAAGCTTAAGAAAAAAATATTACCACCACATTCAACATCCACAGTGGATTGTTCCTGGGTTAAAGTTATATCAGCAAAGACCAGTTGAGTGGTTTTAGCTGTAGCAACTGACCAAGAGTTGTAACCACAGATGCCTGTTTTGGGGGAAGACAGTCTCATGTAACCTAATCTAGCTTTAGACTTGCCCTTACAGCTTAATCCTTCCACCCAGTGTCTCCAGTGCTGGCACTTTGTATGCAGCACTCTAGAACTCCAACCCTCAGTTATAGCTTCATCTTACCTTCCTTGCCTTCTTTTCACTCCGACTCTGTTTTGCTTTACTGACCGGCTCTTCATCGATTTCAGCTGCTGCCGCCAGCTAAAAAGACAAGAGTTTTGAGCACAACAGACCCAATGTTCAGGATGCTTGTTTCCATGTGGTTTGTCTTACAAGATTCATAGTTCCCATGGTCACGTCTGCTACAATCAGTCTTGGTTCTCCAGACCCTCACCCAGGTTGACTTTGAACTTTCAACACTTCTGCCTCAGCCTTCAAAGTGCTGAGATTATAGGTACTGGCCACCATACTTGTCTGTAAATTAAGAGAACACATTACCTGGGCTTGTTGTGTGGTTGTCTGTGTGGAGTCTTGTTCCTCGAGCTCTGGTACTGATTCATCACTGTCAGACTCTGTTCCCGATCCTAAGATGACAGATAACTTTTATTATTTTCAGCAGTAGAATTTAAGAAGTGGCATTTCATCATAGCATGACTGAACTAACTGAAGACTGAACTAGCTATTGCTGCTCTATGCAAGGCCTTACAAAACTTAATTGCCTTCCATGACTCAGCCCGAGGCCTCCAACAGTCACCAGACATAGCTAGGCAGTTTATGTGCAGTAACTGCTGCCTTTCTCTTAAGGCCTTCATTTCTTGGCACAAACACCAAGCATCCATGTAATTCCAAAATGTTGAGACAAAAGGCATCTTTTGATAAATTACTAAGTGGGGTTGGGAGGTCAGAAGCAGCTGTGCACACACGCTTCTGCCTTTCAAGTGACTCACCGACAGAATCGAACCCATCTCTGGAAAGCCCCTCCCCCTGTTAAGTTCAGTTCTCATCTCAATTAGACAGACCCACGATCCACCACTCCCAATACAATTCACGTATCTCAGCTTTCTTTCAACCGAAAGGCCAAGCACCAGTCAATTCTACTGAATGGGGAGGAAAGCAGACACCACACCATTCTCAGGAAAAACAGGTTCTACATTTTTAAAAGGAAGTCCCTGGGCAACTGGCAGTTACTAAGTCTAAAAAGTAAAACAAAAGAGTTTTAAAAAGACAGCTTCCAGACCCCCATTTGTTTGTTTGTTTATTTAGCAAACTCCAGGCCCAGGGACAAGGTTAGTGATGTGGTAAGAACTGAGTGAATTAAAGGCCTGGTAGGTCTTGGTTTTCACTATCAGCTCAGTTATACCAAAAAGGAAGGTTAGGTCCAGGGCTTAGGCTGGATCAGGGTACATAAGACACAGATTATCATCTGAGATGACAGAAACCAAGATTTAGTTCCATATTCCTAGTTTCTACATTATGTACTATGCCCACACTCAAGCAGACGCACTGTACAAAGCGACGCATCCTAGTTAGTATTGTGGGCAGCCCCCAGAGGGGTGTGGGCAACACGCCATGCACACAGCAAACCAAGGCAAATACCCTTGTTGTCCTTCAGAACAGGCTGCTTGGCAGAGGGGGCTGGGGCGGGGATCCCAGCAGGTTTAGGGGTGGGCATGCTGACGAGCACCGGCTGGAAAGGCACTCCCCCAGAGACGGCTTCCGGGGGAATCAGAGGCGGCAGTTCATCCTCCTCAGCAGGGACTGGGAGCTTAGAGGCTGATTCCAGCACTGACCCAGGTGAGGGCTGAAGAAATGGCTGTTTAGGAAGCAGAGGGGGGACTGGGGAGGGAGCAAGAGTCAGGGAAGCTGGTGGGGTAGGCCTTGGAAGCACAGACGCTGACCCCACTTCAGGATGGGCTTTGTCAGAGCTAACTGCTGCCAGAGGGGTAGCTACCTGAGACCCAGGAGAAGCCCTCACGGGACCCTGTGGGAAATGAGGACAATCACCATCTTTTGTAGGGCAAACAGTTTTTGAAGAGTCAGGAAGGGAGCCTTTGCTATCTTTCTTAGCAGAGGGATCTGAGCACAAGTTCTTGGCTCTTGGGCCTTTTTGAATGGAAGCAGTGATGGCCAATGCACTTTCTGGAGAGGGTGTAACAAGTACCTCTTTGAGAGCTGTAGGATCTTGCTTTGCTGGGAGCTTTTCAGATGCCTGAAGGCTAACAGACCCTGTGCTACATGTGGCTGATACTGGGGAAGTAAGGGTGTCTTTAGGGGCAGAAGGGTTGATGGGCGAGAGAATGGGAACCTCTTTAAGAGAGGGAAGAGTCATAACTGGGAGAGCAGAGGCCCTTTTGGGGGTTGAAGATTCAAAGGTTTCCTTGGGGGCTGGTGCCTCTTTGGGGAAGACAGGAGCCACAGAAGAGATAGCAGGGGTCGCTTTGGGAGATGGAGTTGTTGAAATCTCTTTGGAAGTCTCAGATGCAGGGGCCTTTTTAGGAGATGGCACTGTGGTGGCCTCTCTTGGAGCTAATGTTGCTGGGGCCTTTTTGGAGGAGACAGGAGCAGCTAGGGTTACTGAATCCTCCTTGGAAGCTGTGGTTGCTGGGGTCTTTTGCAGAGAGGGAGCCACCTCTGGCAGTGAAGTGGTGACAACTTCAAGAGATGGATTTGTTGGAAATTCCTTAGGGGCTGAAGTTCTTGGTGCCTTTTTGGATGGCGTTTTTGGATTCTTTGAGGGAGAGGGAGGAATCACAGTTGGGGAAGCACTGGGGGGCAGGGCTGATAGAGCCTCTGTGAGAGCTACAGGCATTGGGGCCTTCTTATGGGAACAGGGGGAGACAGCAACCTCCTGTGTGTCCGCAGGGATGGCTCTGGAGGCCACAGTTGCTGAGGCCTTCTGCGGGGTGGGAGAATTCTCCTGAGGTGCAGTGGTGACCCCTTCAGGGGACACTGCTGGTGCTTCTTTGGGTCCCGCTTTAGCGGCCTTCTGGGGAAAGGAATCAGTTTCCAGTGATACAGTAGCGACTCCTTTAGAAGATGAAGTTGAAATTTCTTTGGGGGCTGCTGTTTTTGAGGTCTTTTTGGGGGAGGGAGAAAGTTTTGCTGGAGTTTCTTTAGGACCTGCAGTTTGGGGGAGCTTTTTAGATGTTTCTTTGGGGGCTGCCGTTTTGGGGGCTTTTTTGGGAGATGATGGAATATCTGGTGGCCCAGCTGTGACCCCTTCAGGAGATGGGACTGTGGGTGTTTCTTTGGGGCCTGACATCTTAGGGGCCTTTCTGGGGGACACAGCGGTCTCTGGTGGTGCAACTACATCCCTTTTAGAAGATGGGGCTGTTGTTTCTTTGGGGGCTGCTGTTTTGGAGGACTTTTGGGGGGATGACATTGCTTTAGTTTCTTTGGGAGTTGCAGTTTTTGAGGCTTTTGGGGGGCAGGGAGGAGTTCCCAGTGGCACAGCTTCGGGAATTGGGGTTGCTGGAGTTTCCTTGGGGGCTGCTGTTTTGGAGGTCCTTTGGGGGCATGGAGTTGCCAAGGTTTCTTTGGGGGCCTTTTTTGGGGAGGCAGGACTCTCAGCTAAGGTAGCAGGGGCACCTTTAGGAGATGGGTTCATAGGAACCTGTTTGGGGGCTGCAGTTGGGGGGAAGGAGGAATCTCCTGTTGTGTTGCAGTTGTGACCCCTTCAGAAGATTGAGTTGAAGTTTCTTTGGGGGCTGCAGTTTTGGGGGATCTTTTGGGGGGTGACAGTGCTGAAGTTTCCTTGGGGGCTGCTGTTTTTGAGGTCTTTTTGGGGGAGGGAGCAATCTCTAGTGGCACAGCTGGACTGCCTTTGGGAGATGGAGCTGCTGGAGTTTCTTTGGGAGCTTCAGTTTTGGGGGCCTTTCTGGGGGAAGAAATTTCCAGAGGTGCAGTGGTGACCCCTTCAGAAGATGTGATTGGAGGTTCTTTGGGGGTTGCAGTTTTGGGTGGCTTTTTGGGGGATGACTTTGCTGAATTTTCTTTGGGGGCCTTTTTGGGTGAGGGAGCAATCTGTAGTGGCATAGCTGTGTTGCCTTCGGGAGATGGGGTTGCTGGAGCTTCTTTGGGAGCTGCAGTTTTAAGGGAGGCAGGACTCTCAGCTAAGGTAGCAGGGGCATCTTTGGGAGATGGGGTCACAGAAACCTGTTTCTGGGCTGCAGTTTTGGGAGCCTTTAGGGGGGGAGGAATCTCCAGGGGAACAGTGGTGACCCCTTTCGAAGGTGGGGTTGGAGTTTCTTTGGGAGTCTTGGGGGACTTTTTTGGGGATGGGGCTGAGTTTTCCTTGGGGGCTGCAGTTTTTGAGGCCTTTTTGGGTGCGGGAGAAACCTCCAGTGGCACAGCTGTGACCCCTACAGTTGGGGTTGCTAGAGTTTCTTTGGGAGCTGCAGTTTTGGGGGCCTTTTTAGGGGCAGGAAGAATCTCCAATGATGTAGTGGTTACCCTGTCTGCAGGGGTTGGAGTTTCTTTGGGGGCTGTACTTCCGGGGGACCTTTTGGAAGATGAGGTTGCACATTCATCAGAGGCTATGGTTTTTGAGGTCTTTTTTGGGGAGGGGGATATTTCTAGTGGCACAGCTGTGACCCCTTCGGGTGGAGTTTCTTTGGGGGCTGCAGTTTTGGGAGCCCTTGTAGGGAAGGAAGGACCCTCAGCTAGGGCAGCAGGAGCACCTTTGGGGGAATCCGGGCCTGTTAGAGGCTCACTGATTGCTTCAATTGCTGTAGGCTTTGGTGGGGAGGGAGGTACACATGGAGCCTCTGTGGGGAACTTGGGTGCTGACACTTTGGAAGCTACAGGTGCCTTTTTGGAGGGCTTATCTGGGGTGCCCTTAGGGGATATTGATTTTGGAGTCTTTTCTGAGGAGGGAGAAGACACAGCTGGGATAGTTGTGGCAACTTTGGGAGGTGAGGCTACTAAAGTCTCTTTGGGGGTTGCAGTTGCTGGTGCATTTTCGAGGGAGGGGTAACTATCAGTAGGAGCAATGGGGGTTCCAGTAGGAGATGGGGCTGTAGGGGCCTTTTGGGGAGGTAAATTAGTCGCAGCTGGGCCACTCTCAAGTGACAGGGTTGCTGAAGTATCTTTGGGAACTGGAGCTGCTGGCGTTTTTTTGGGAGACAAGGGAGTCATATCTGGTACAACAGGGGGCACATTGGGGGGCCGGGTTACCAAGTCCAGTTTGGAAGCTGTAGAGTCTATGGTCTTTTGGAGAAAAAGAGGAATTTCTGCTGGGACAGTGGGGGCATCTTTGAGGAATGAGGTTGCTGGGGCCTTTTGGGGGGACACAGAAGTCTCTGTCGGGGCAACAGGGGCCCCCTTGGAGGACGGAGGAATGGGAGAAGGACTAGCCCCAGGAAGGAAGGAAGGCTCAGGTGTAGAAAGAGGAGACAACAGACCCGCAGGAGAAACACCTGGCAGAGCAGAGCTCTTCTTAGGGGAAGGCCCTTTTGTCCGAGGAGAGACATCAGTCTCTAAAGATGGAAAACTAGCTGGATGAGCACCAGAATCTTCAGGGTGCCCTTCAGGAAACGAGGGCAGAGATGCCACAGAGGAAAGACCATCACCTTCCTTTGCACCAGAAAAAGAAATCCCAGTCGGGGGAGAGGCAGGAAAGGAAACAGACTTGGAAATCTCAGGGGCCAATGCCACAGCAGTCATAGAAACAGAACCATTTTGGGGGGTAAAAGCCAAAGATGGAGCCAGAGGACAGCCTTCAGAGGCTAGAGGAATCAGAGCTGAGGTGGCAGTAGTGGACGCCGCAGGAGAGGTTCCTCGGGCAGTTCTGGAAGACAGCTCTTCAGGACCACAAGACTCTAAGAGACCCGGAGCCACTGCTGGGACAGTGACAGAGTGTTTGGGAGGCAGGCTGGCAGGGCCCGTCCTGACAATCGCAGCTGAGGTGTCAGCTCCTGGGGAAGAACTCCTAGCAACAGCCATCTTCACTAGAGGGGCACACTCCTCCACAGAAGACGCACTCTGAGGAGAGGAAGACTCTGTATGCGCTATCAGGGACAAGGGCAGCAGAGTGGGGTCTCTTCTGGCAGGGTGTCCTGCCTGGGGTGGAGAAACAGGGGCACCTACATTTATCAATACTGGAGCAGGGAGATTTTTCAGGTCTTCAGTGGCCGGCAGAGAAACCGGTACACCTAGAGTAGCTGATAGCGGAGGAGCAGGAAACTGCTCGTGAGCAGCAGGTGCTACAGATGAGACAGTAGGGGAGGTTGGGTCTTCATCCGATGAAACTGGAGGAGACACGCAAGGGGCAAGAGAAAGGGAGGAGGAGTCATCCACAGCAGGCTGCTCGGCTCCAACACCTGAGACGGGAATTTCTTTTAAGACAGTGTTTTGAGAAGCAGGAATCTGAGTCACCAAAGGCTGCTGGGTGGCATTAGAACCTTTGGGAGTGAGAGACGCTGTAGGACATAATGGAGTAGTAGCTACAGCTGAGGAGCTGGGAGGGCCGCAGAGTCCACCAGTAAGAGCAGAGGTGCCTTTGCCAAGAGGCGGAGCTGGGGCAGAAGCTGGAGCCCTCACTGACAGAGCTGCCACAGAGTCAGCAAGCAGCTCATGTCTGGAGGGAAAGAGTCCTGCCTGGACGGAAGGAAGGGGGGGGAATGACAGACCTCTCAGATGGACAAGATGCCTCAGCGGTAGAACCATCTACAGAAATGGCAGTGCTCACTGGAGGGCCTGACTGAGGCAAAGGCTGGGCAGGGGAAGGAGATCCCGAAGAACTGCAACGTGAAGGTGGAAGCTGTGAGCCCGGAGAAGGGGGGGCTCCCCGGGAGGACGTTGGGAGCCACAGTGCTTTGAGCAAGGGAACCAACAGGTCTCTTTAGGTTAAGGCTCAGCACATTTTGTGGCATCGGGGCTGAGGAAATGGGGATGCCCTTGACTGGAGAAGTGACAGTAGGAGTGATGGATAGTGTCTGAGGACAGGGTGCTAATCCAGGTGGAACATAGGCCAGGGAGGTTTCAGGGGAGGAAGGAAAAACACCGACGACATCTGGAGGACTTGGGGCAGTGTCTTTCAGATTTGGGAATACCTGACAGGGAACTTGACTAGCGGAAGCAGATACAGAACTCTTCTGAACCGAGTGTGGAGCCACCGCAACCAGAGACAAGGGGGCTGAAGAGGACCGGGCACCTTTCTGAGCTGGACCTATCACGGGAGAGGCCAAAGCTAGGGCAGCGGGGGAGATGGGAGGCCCTATCAGGTGTGGCAGGAAAGCTGGAGGGTGAGGGGCAGCTCCCAGAGGTTCAGTATCACAAGAGGGCTGGGGAAAAGGGATTTCAAAAGGGGCTGAGGAAACACTAGGCGAAGGGAACGGGGAAGGCTGATTAGCAGTTACTAGAGGGCTCTGTTGGGAGGCCAGGGAGCAAGGAAGGGGAGGTCCAGGCTGCCCTAAAGCAGCAGTAGCATTCAGGGCTGAAGACATAGGAAGCACAGCTGGAGAAAAGCAAAAATAAAAACCAAAATAAAAAAGGAGATAAAGGGAGGGGAGGGAAAAGGTGAGTTTGTGCAGCCCAAGTTGGTAACATGCTCAAAGGAAACAATGGAGGTTTGAATCTGAGAACGAAGGTCACCACACTGGATTAGAAAAGAGTGACAAGCAGTATCAACTTTCCCTGTACATATTTCAGTGATTAAGTGGACGACCTCTTCGTTTCCCACATTTCCCAAGTTCTACAAAAATAAACCAACTATTTTAAGGTGGGGCAAATAGTGTAAGACTAGCTCATGTCTAAATGGGGAGCATAGGCCCACACCCTCCTTCTGTTACTGGGGATTAAGCCTAGTGCTTCACACACGACAGGCAAAATTACTATAACCATAGCCCTCTCTTTGAGAGGTCCCACCCTTAGGCTGGCCTTTAATTTACAGTTCTCCTGCCTCAGCTTCCTAAATATAGCTCATGTCACTACCCACCAAACTGGAGTGGATTGAGAACATGCCTTCTTCCTTGTTCCTTCACAAAATCGACAGATTCCTAATATTGTTTTTAGACAGGGCCTCACTGTGTAGCCCGCCTCTATCTCTGCCAGGATTAAAGATAAGCTACCACACCTGAGCAGTGTTAACAACGAGGAGTCTAAATAAGGGAGAGAGGAGTATCTTTTACATACCTTTAGGCTTCTGCTAAGCCAAGAGTGGGATCTGATTATGTTGGAATCTTAGAAATGATATACCTATCCTAACTCAGTTCTATTATACCTGAAACTCTTCAACATTCAATACCAAATATTGAACACCAAGTCTCAACCAGAAGTGGTGTATACAACCACACTCTTCCCCAGTTTCAGTAAGATTGGTTCTTCGGACACAGTAACTCAAATTAATTAGGACCCAAGGAGGGGCAGGGTAGGAATTACATCATGAATCTAACAACACTTTAGAAGATAATTACAAATTATAGTAATAATAAAAATACACAGGCTCCTACCCCTTGATGTAGGCAAGCATGTGACTCCACCTAAAAAGGCCACTGCTTGGCATTGAAAAGATTCCTAAAGGGAGGGAGGCTCTGCCACTTGAGACAACACTATTAAATCAAAGAATAAGCAAACGACAAATACCTGGGTGACGAAATAATAACAAATCAGTCCACAGCACCCAATCTCACAAGTCACTCAACCAGTTTATTCCCACGTTCTTACAGGACAAGGAGGTGGGTGGCTGGACCAGTCTTTCTGGGAGAATTGGTAGCCAAAGCCTTCTAATTGTAATGCAAGTACTTCCAAACATGCTAACTGGAATCTAAAATATGGAATATTTTACTGGACCTAATGGTACGATTAAGGTCCACATCACTTGCTTTTATACCGTAACATGCCCTGACTTACTGTCTTAATTCACTCCAGTAAGGTTAATCACAGTCACAGACACATGGGCATACCTTCCATACCTAACGTGTAGGCTCAGAGTTACTTATAATACTAAGGACTGTTTTAGAAATAAGAAATGTTAAAGCTGCAGCCAGAATTTCTAAATTCATGTAAATTGCAGCCTCCACATTTGCAAAACATCAATTTAACTCTGGTTTAGCCCTGAGTTGCACACCCTGAAAGACCATTCCTTCCCCCTACTGCCCATTCCCCAGATCAGGGCACCCACCTCCTTTCTGGCCTGGCAGCTGAACTAATCCCCTCAGCTGCTAGAATCAGACAGGTGGGGAGGAAGGACTTTAATGATTCTAAGTAAAGTACATACAAAGGACAACAGAAAAAACTGTTGAGTAACAATTAAAGAGCATCCCATTAAAACCAAGTAGAGGGCGTATTCTTAAGACACCCCCTCATTTAGTCCTGTAGAAGTGTCTCTAGAAGAACGTTTCATTCTTTCAAGCTTCCTAAGAAAAAGCGTTAGCCAGCATTCAAGTCTGTCTTCACACTGCATTCTATTTTGGCTGAAAAATCACAACTACTTATTTCGGCCTTGGGTTCCATAGGATGGAAATATCCCAGTATACACTACAAGTTTCAGAGCATTCCCAAGTTAACCAACCTAGGCTGGGGCTCTTGGTAGGACACGCATATCTCTTTCAGACATGTGACTAAAGGCTCGGTGCCAATCATGGCTATCTAAAACCTCACGACGCTGGCCAGAAGTTCACCAAAGCTCAGGTCTCCTGGGCCTACCTCTTGCCCCCCAGTTGTAACAAACAGACCAGAACCATCCAGCCCCCTGCCCTACTCAGGTTTCCTATATGATGTGTAGATTCCACAGATGAGCTCTTTCTTCAAGCACCTGGTGTAACTCACAAAGCAAGCCAGGGAACCTGCCCATAAACTTTAAAGATACAACTTTTTATTCTCTTCCTCTAATGAGTTCTCCCGGCGCTGGTCAGACAGCAGTTAAAAATCTGTACCAAAGCTACAACCCCATTAAAAAAAAATCTTTAAAAAGTCAGTTAACTCCAAAGGCAGAAACGTATTTGTCACCTTACCCACCAAAAGGCTCTAGGATGAGTTTTAACGAACAAGAGAACTATGGGCGCCTACCTGTCTCAGCCTGAGGCTGTGGCAGCTCCTGCTCGGTAGCAGGGACGGTTTCAGTGGCTTCACCAGGCATTTCTGAAGGGAACAAACAGGAAGCCCGAATTAACTGGGGTGAGTTCACCTGCCCGGCACCGGGTCAAGCATTCTGAAAAGTATCTGCACAAACCAGGGTACACAGTGCCCGGGAGACAGTCCCCCCAAACAAACCAGGGGTACACACAGAGCTCGGGAGACAGCCCCCCAAAGCGACTGGAAATAGCGTGTGACGGTGACACGGCCGTGAGCTCCCTTCTGAGCCGCTTCACTTAGCAGACGGCCGACGCTCCCTGACCTGGTCCCCTCCCGTCCTAACGGGCACCCCGCTCCTCCGGGGACTCCCGGACTCTCCCGATCACTTCCGAGAGCAGGGAGAGCACAGGGAACCATCAGTGCCACCTTGGCCACAGGACGCACTCTCCAAGGCCGTGACCCCGCCGCCGCTCGGGATCCCCGCGAAGCCCTTCCCTGGGGCGGACGGACGCACCCGCCCTCCGCGGCTAACACCGCGGCGAGTCCCCGCGCCTCAACTCCGGGCACGGCCCGCACGCAGCCCTTCCCTCCGCCGCTGCCTAGCCCCCGCGGCCCCGCTCCGTCCGCAGCCCCGGGGACGGACGAGCCGGAGCTCCGAGACCCACACAGCCGCCCGCGCTCCCTGACTACACCCCCGGGGCCGCCGGGCTCGCCGCGAAGGAGGATGGGTCCGGATGGAGGGCAGAGGGGCCGGCGGCACTCACTGTGCGGAGGACGCGGAACCAAGATGGCGGCGGAAAGAGAGCGAGCGAGAGAGCGAGCGAGAGCGTGACCCACGCCTGTTGCAGGAGGAAGCAGAGTGCAGGGGGCGGGCACGGCAAGCACTTCCGGGTCAGGCGCGCGGACCCTGCACTTCCTTTAGCGGGCCGAGCAGCTTCTCTTCCCGGGTGTGACGGTGACGCCGCCACCTAAATAAGGCTGCGGATTCCGGAGAGCACGCACGCCCCGCCTGGCTGCAGCCGTCCGGCCGTGGCCTTGACCCCGACAGCTGTCTCCAACGGTGTCCCGGTGTTCCCTTTTCCAACGCAACGAGACGCGAATTTACGGCGAATGTCCCCGGGCCTGCCTGCGTTTGCGCCGTTGCAGGGAAGTGGCCTGTGCTAAATCCCCAGTTGATTTTATTTAGGAATGGACGATTTAGGGCGGCGGAGGTTCGGTTCTCTCCTGGAGAAACGCATTAATCCCAGCAGTCGGGAGGCAGGGGCAGGAGGATGTCTGTGAGTTTGAGGCCAGCCTGGTCTACAGCGTGAGCTCCAGGACAGCCAGGGATGCATACACACTTCTCTTCGCCTGATATTTTAGGCACTTCTCATCTATTCTAAAACTCACCCGTTATAGTCTGCGTAGGAATGTAGCTTGGTTGGTAGAGTGATTGACTTGCCTGCAAGCCAATCCCCAGCACCACATAAAATCGGAAATGGTTGTGCAAGCCTGCAAATAAGCATTTGAAGGTGGAGGCAGGGTCAAAAGTTCAAAGCCTTCCTCAGCAAGACAGCAACACAGAATCGCGTGTGAGGGTTTTTGTTTTGTTTGAGGCAGGGTGTCTTTATGTGGTCCTGGCTGGCTTTGAACTCCCCTAGAGAGCCACCTGCCTCTGCCTCCTGAGTGCTGGAATTAAAGGCATGGGCTACCAAGCTAATTCCAAGTGTTTTTGACACAAGGTCTTACTGTGTAGACCAGGCTGACCTCGAACTCATAGAAACGTACTTGCTTCTGACCTAGCACATTTAGAACCAGCTTGGGCTAGATGGCAAGAAACTGTCTCAAAACAAAATCTTACACTCTTTGAAAGTAGAATATACTGTAAAGCCATTATTTTGTTAAAGAAATAACTACTGATTTACACAATCTCTTCCTTCTACAAAAGGACTCAATACATGTGACCCTGAAGGGTTTGTTTTTAAAGCTCTCTGTAGGGCCAAGCTAGTCTCAGACTTGTTGCAGCCCTTCAAGGTGGGCATCTACAGCTGTGCACCGTAGGCTAACTTAACACTTGATTTAATTGCCTGCATTTTATAGGAAGCGTTGAGAAATTTCAGTGTTCCGAAAGGCACTTTATACACGATTGGGCTGGTTGGACGGTTCAGCTGGTGTGGGCACTTCTGTGTCTGTCTGGCTACCCGAGTTCCATTCTTGAAATCCATGGAAAGATGGGAGAGAACAGGCGCCACAAAGTACAAGAGCACATACTCAACTAAGTAAATAAAAAAGTTTGGGCTGAGATATGATTTAGCAGTTAAGAGCACTTACTGCTGTTTCAGTGCAGAGGTTTAATTCCCAGCACCTATAGAACATTTGTCTGTAATTCCAACTCCTGGGGGGAATTTAAAGCCCTCTTCTGGGCTTTGGGGGCATGCATGTGGTGCGCAGACAAAATACCCATACTAATAAAACAGAAACGAAGAAAAAAATAAACTGTCTTGAGAATTTGAGTGTAATCCATGAGAGTTAGGATGAGTAAATCAGGATTAATTGGGGCAGTAGACTTTACAAGGACTGGGAAACTCTGAAATCACCTTCATATAGGAGACACTTCGTGACTCAGAATTGGGGCTGGGAATATAGCTCAGTTGTTATGCTTTTGAAGTACACTCGAAGGCCTGGGTTTGATGCTCAGTGCTCATAAAACCAGAAATGATGGTGAAAGCTTGTAATGCCAGCACTTGGCAAGTAGAGGTAAGAGATTCAGTTCAAAGTCATCCTTGACTACATAGAGTTTGACGCCAGCCTGGGCTACATAAGACCAACCCTCTAACACACACACACACACACACACACACACACACACACACACACACACACACACACACCAAATTGTTTCGCAATCTTCTGGGTCATTTGGACTACTTACCCTATTTTTGCCTTCATCTGTAAAATGGGGATACTAGTTACTGCTTCATAGTATTATTAGGAAGATGATGGTATTATAAGCACATGACAGTGTTCACTACTATTAAAACTGTAGATAAACCAGGCACTATGACCCATCCATCTGGGACCACATCTATTTGGGAAGCTGAGGCAGGAAGATGGAGTGCTGGGATGGGCTACCATGTCCTACCACAATGTATCTTTTTTTTCTACAATGTAACTCCTTAACAGTTGGCCTGGAACTTGATATATAGGCCAGGCTGCCTCAAATTCAGAGGTGTCTGCCTTTTGAGTGATGGGATAAATGGCACTTAACCCCTTGTAGGTTTTTTTGTTGTTGTTTTGGTTATTAAGTTGGTTATACAGGGTTTCTCAAAGTCTCTCTTGTAACAGCCCTGGCCTCACAAAGATCCACCTGCTTCTGCCTCTGCCTCCTGAGTGCTGGGATTAAAAGCCTGTGCCACCACACCTGGCTCTAAATTGGTTACTTTTTAAAATGCCTCTGTGGTAAACTAATCCAGTTTGAGGGAAAAAGAAGCTAAAATTGAAAATACTTGAATGTTCTATTAGGATCAAATTTTGTTCATCTAACTCTTATCTTTGGGAATTTTGGTTGGTTTAGTTAGTTAAACATAATTGCTGGGAAGTAGTGGCACAGGCCTTTAGGCAGGAGGCAAAGGCTGGTAAATCCCTGTGAGTTTGAGACCAGCCTGGTCTACAGAGTGAGTTCTAGGACAGACAGAGCTACACGTGTCTTGAAAAACAAAACTTTTTTTAAGGAGAAATGAGGATAAATGAATATAGGTGACATGAAAGCCAACAGGAGGGCTGTTTGGGGGGGGAAGGGTAGAAATGTATGTATGAAATGTCACAAAAGAACAAAAGGAAAATGTTACTGTGAAACTCACTATCTTATATGCTAACTAAAAACATTAATAAGTAAAAAATAAAAACTGGGCATGGTGGCTGAGGCTTTCAACACCAGCATCTAGGAGGTTGACACAACTGGACTGCCACTAGGTCCTGGCCAGCTTAGTCTAGAGTTGGCCCTGTCACTCAGAACAACAAATAGATAAAACCATAAAACAAACCAAACTGTGGTGTGATGGTTATTCCTGGCTGTCAACTTGACTACATTTGCAATTAACTAAATCATTGAAGTGGGAAAAACCACCCTAAAACTGGATATTTGTAAGTGGTAAGACCCTGGGCCACACTTTCTGGTGGCAGCCTCATAAAGGAAATGGAAGGAGGAAGCTTCTTGCTCTTGCTGGCAAGTCCATTCCTTCGCTGGCATTAGAGTCTTCTTCAGGATTCCCCAGTATACTGAAGACCAGCGAAACATCCAGCCACATGAACTGAACAGCTATTGGACTTCACATTGGTAGCCAGCTGCTTTTGGACTAGCTGGACCACAGCCTGTAAGGCATTCTGATACCAATACCCCCCCCATGTATATGTGTATATTTGTGTGCATGTGTGTATACACACTTTTTTTTCATTCTATTAGATCTGCTCCTCCAGAGAACCCTGATTAATACAAATAGGTTGTGGTGTAGCCCAGGCTGGCCCTGAAGGCATAGCAATCGTTCTGCCTCAGACTTCTAGGTGCTGGGATTACAGGTGTGAGCCACAACTGTTAGCTTACATGACTGAAGATAAGGCCATCATTTACATAGAATTATGGAAATGGAGATGGCATCCAGTGGGCTAAGATGAAAGCATTGGCATATCACTGCTCACTGGAACCTCTATACACAGTCACTGATAGAACGAAGTGTATCAGAAGCCTAAGGGTTATCATTTTACAAAGTTCTGTGGCTTACTTAGTCCTTGATTTATTGTTTCTTTCAGAATCCTTAGCCCTGTCTTTGACCCCAGGAAATCTTTCTTTTTAAAGATTTATTTATTATGAATACAACATCTTGCCTCCATGTATGTCTGCACGCCAGCAGAGGGCACCAGATCTCATTATGGATGGTTGTGAGCCACCATGTGGTTGCTGGGAATTGAACTCAGAACCTCTGGAAGAGCAGTCAGTGCTCTTAACCTGTG